CTGTCATGCTGGATAGCAAGTGGGCTGTGCTTGCTGAATCTCCCAGGGCACCGGTTCTTTGCTGCCAAGATTCCTTGGACTGAGGACAGGTCTGGGCGGGCAGGAGAAGCAGGAGCCAGCCCACAGTCAGGCAGGGAGAGGGACCCCCCCCCCCCCATGACAGAGAGGGGCCCTGACCTGTGGCTTTCAGCAGGCTCTGGAAGAAGCTCTGGTTGTAGATTCTGGCCACACCGCTGATCTCGGGCACCTGTGTCTCTTCCACGGTGCGCCTGTTCACAAAGTTGACTGTGATGCCAATAGCCAGTTTGCCACGCATTTCTCGTACTGTAAAGCCTAGGGTGGGGGCAGGAAAGCAGTGGCAGGACGATGAGGGGTGTAACAGCCTAGAAAGGCCCATGAGAAGCTCAAGATGCTGATGACTTCTAGGAAAGGGATCACTCACCTTCAGGAACGAATTTACCTCCAGCAGCAGAGATGAGGACATCAAATTCATAGTTGGCCAGTTGAGCAGGGGGATTGGGCTGGAGCTGGGCACGCCAGCCACTCCCTGAGGCAAAGGGTGTGAGAGGCACAAAGGTGTGGGAATCTGAAGGGGCCCCTATATTCCCAGGACAAGCCAGTGACATAATTAAATAAATATGTTAAAGGGCTTTATGGTTTAGAAAGCAATGATACATTGTCAAAATACCTTTACAACTTCCTATGGAAAGTAGGGAGGGAAGGGACTATTACTCCCGTTTTACAGATGCTCAGAGTGAGGCTCTGAGCAGTTGGCACAAGGCCACACTATTAGAAAGGGAGACTCAGCTGACGCCCCACCCCACTATTTCTTCCACATGCCAAGATGTCCTTGGCAGAAGGCGGTTTTCAGGAACAGAGAAGTACATACCCTTTTTGGGAGGGGGCTGGAGGCCAGTGAAAGCGACACCCCAGTGAATTTCCACTCCCAGCAGTAATGCCACTTTCAACAAAAGCAGCTGAAGCTGCCGGATGCCTAGAAGGGAGAGGACATTAGGAACAGGGACCCAGGACCACAGAGCCTCCCCCAGGCACCAGTCTGCGCCTGGTCAGAGCTGGAAGTCTTAGAGATCACGCCATCCAACTGCCCATTTTACAGATAAAGGACCTGAGTCCTGAAGGACACCCAGATGAACTGAATCTTGTCCACTCTGCCTCTTGGCTGGCCCAGCAGACCCCTACAGGGCTGTGTCTAACGCACTCACAGCCCATGCAGGCCGCCAGGCGTCACTCACTGATGTGGTCCAGGGTGCCCGTGCAGAAGCGCCCATAGAACTTCTTGGCACCGAGTGCCCGAAGGTCGTGGATGGTGAATGGCCAGAGGTGGAGCACATTGTGGCGAGAGAACTTGGTGCGCTTTTCCACCAGTACCACACGGGGCCCCCAGCAGCGCCAGCTCCACAGCAGCCCGCAGACCACAAGGACCAGCGCCCACCACCAGGCACTGTGAACACACAAGACAGTGTGGGCATAGATCCCACCTCCCTCCTCTGACTGTCCCGCTCTCAAGGCCCCATCCCAGGGAACACGTATTCACCTTCGTTGTTGGCACAGGCCTGGCGTGGT